CTTAAATTTTAAATGCGCACCTGATAACGATCCTCCTTTTGTGCCTGGATTGCATGTCAGAGCTTATTCTGTTGTCACTCTGCAGGCTTTCTAAGTCTCCCCCCCACCTTCTCCCCACAGAAGATCATCCTGCAGCGGCTGATAATGATTTCTCGGCTCCCCCACGACCTTGCTGATAGGACAGACCTGGGAGGTCAGCCAGCAATTACCTTAGAGCTACAGAGACTGAGGGACTAATCACCTGATGCCAACTGAACCCAGTTTTTCTTTAGAGGAATGATCCTGTTATACTGGCAGGACAAATTAATACTCCTACTTAAGTTGCTGCCCTGAAATACAGAGGCTTCTTGTTGAATCTGAACTAAAGCAGTGAAAAACTGTCTCGTTTCCTGTGTTTGGTGCTTTTATAGCTTTCACACCTCCATGTGTGAGTCTGCAGGCCTTACCTGTAAAAAAGAAATAAATTCTTTGACTAAAGTTAGAATAGAAAGCCCACAGAAGCCCCCAGGAAAGGCTGTACCTGTGTGTCGAAAACAGAAGGAAGCCTGAATACAGAGTTTTTAAAAACTGTGATATTTAAAAAAAAAAAACAGACAAACAAGGTCTTAATGAAACAAATAAATTATAGCAAATAAGATTATTTTTGAAAATTATTTTTTTAAACTTTAACCTCTTAACCCTCACCAGAAGTGTGTGCTATGAAACAAGACGAATGGGTTTGTTGGATTTGTTACGTTGCGATTAAAGTCAGACTTCTGTGCCGTGAAGGCGGCTCTCTTATTTACCTGGCTAGATCACCATGGCAACTGATTCTGAACACATAATTTGGTTCACAGCAGGTCGTGTTCAGAGTTTAAAATAATCTGAAAGTGCCATATTTTCTACTGCACTTCTGGAATCGCAGCTAAGAGAACACAGATAAGAAGTTTAATTAGTCTGTCTGAAGGATATTTATCTGAGAGAATATTAATCAGTAAAATCAATTTCACTTTGATTTGGCCAAAGACTCACCCCAGATCAAAGGGACTTCTTGAATCTCTGTTCAGTGGCCTAAAAACTGAAGAAATATGCCATGTTCGGTCTTATGCTTAGCTAGTAGTTGTGGCTTGTTTGTAAAAGGCTGAATATAATACATAATTCTGCAATTATCAGGTCTTAAAAAGACTTTAAAGGCATTCATTTTGCTTTTTAAAATGATGAACACTAAAACAAGAGGGGTTTTGTCTTCTGTTGTTTCCACGCAGCTCATTATGAAAATCTCAACTTTCAGCTGAACAAACAGTACATATGGGATCACATAACAGGCCTTCTGCTGATTTATCCATCCTACCTGCTGCACATCATTGAAGTAAGTTCTCCTGCACAGAAATAACAAATGTTTGGCTGAAGTTTGTGAAAGTGTGCTCAAAGCTTGCTGTGCCTCTCTCTTCCAGTCGTCCAGGGATATTCTGACTTCTGTTTTGAGAGACGTCAAAGTCATGCAACAACAGCCACACCGGTAATCTTTCTCATACTGCAGATGACTTCTATATATATATATTATACCCTGAGATACGGTGCATCCCATTTCACTCATATTTATTGCTTGTCTGCTGTCTGTTAAGAAATTCATGCCACAGAGCTCACAGAGAGGGCAAATATCATCCTGTGGTTGCCTTGCATCAGTTCAGATTCACCAAATGTGACAAAAGCTTATGATGATGTCTGAGCAGTCGACTCCTTGCAGCGTGTTTTAGCATAAAGACGCAAAGCTGTTGCATCTCTGCTGCCGTCATCTCGCTCAGACTGTCTGACCATTCCAGACTTTTGGGCTTCCTACTGTTCTAACATGTCAAAACTAAGCTTTTGGTATGAAAAACGGCATTTGAACCTTAACTATCATAAATACATGTCTGGCATCTGTAATAATTCAAGCTGCATGGCAATTAGTAAATTTTTTTTTAGAAAGTTCTGGACTGAAATGATGAGGCGCCTTTGCCTCGCTCCAAAACGGCCACCACATTGACACATCCTTCCAGTCAACAGCAGTGACCAGTGTAGCATTTCTGTGTATATTTCTATGAAGCAGCTCTAGCTGGTCAGCTGTTGTCAGTGTGGCAAACCCCCACAGTGCTTTTGTTGCTTTAGACCAACAGCTGCCCCTTCTGGCTGCAGGCCAATAAATATTTAAGCTGTTGTGTGTCGTGTGAGCCATAATAATTATTAGCACATCCTTTTTAGCACCTTGCTGGAAGTAAAGATTGTGTTTTTGGATCACAACCCTCAAAGAAGGCTGTTCCAGCAGTGGAGCTACAAGGTTAGCTGTCTTTTATCTTTGCACTTGATTGCTTGAAGTATGTTAATGCATGAGAGGATTATGAGAATACAAATGTTTTAGTACATAAATGAGACATAATAAATACCTTCAGTTATAGACATATCTCATGTTTTTAAAGTTCAAGACATTGGATTCTCTGATGGTCTCCTGTGTGTATGTATTGCTGTGTGACTCAAGGTGCTGGGTGCAGATCAGGTGATCAGGGATCCCGCAGTTAAGGTACTGGAGGATGAAGATGTCAGCACAGAGACCCTTGTGTGCAGCGTCCTGTCAACACTGCAAAATCTGAGGAAAAAGCTTGAAAAATCGAAGGTGTGTTTCTTTGCAGATGATCTTTTTCCGTTTTGAAAACCAGAACTTTCTCAGAGTTTTTCTCTGACTTCCTGATTGCAATCTAAGGCTCTTCCCGGGTCAGTGTTGGATGAGACGCCGCAGCTGATCGTCCATCAGAAAATTCTGGAAAGGCTTTTGGGTCGAGAGGAACTCCTGAGGCCGCAGCAGTACCTAGATATGTACAAATCCACCTTAAACATCAGTATTGAGTTTGGTAAGTGACAGCTTCCAGTTGGTGTGAAGATTTATAAGAACATTTCCAATATGAAAATATTAGAACGTAGTAAATACACACTGATCCTTGTGTTGGATCAGATACATACGTAACTCTGTGTCAATTTTCTGATGGTTTAACAGGACAACTGAATCCAAGAAACCTTTTCTCCGCTGTTTAACCCCCTGAACAAAATGTCAAAGGCCAACTGTTTCCCTGTAGTGATTTTGGTTCCTACACTGAAAATATTTGCTGCACTTACTGTTCACTTATTCTTGTGATACTTGTGGTCGTCAGACATCCTCTGCCTTTCCTGTCTTTTATGATAAATAGTACGTGTCCAAAAGATCCATTCACTCTTTGCTTCCCTTTTATTGTCTGTGTAGCTAGCCATGTGTTGCGATCTAATAGTGTGGCATTGTTTTCTCATTCTAAAATAAAGACATATTCAAAAAATACATTACTTATGTCTTCCAACAGGTTTTTGTATCATAACAATCCAGTCACGTGCAAATTGTCATCTGTCACAGTACAGTGGTCCACTACATCCTCAGTTAATAAATGCCAATAAATGAATAAATGCTAGCATTCTGCTAATGCTAACACATATGTGTGCTCAGTTAAAGATTTATAAGGGCACTTCCTTGAATCTGGATTAGTTAAAACAGATTAGAAGCTTTCATGTGTGCATAAGAAGCTGGTGGTTATGCAGGTTAACAAGGACAGTTAAGGCTTGATTATATTGACATTGTGAAACTGATCACATGGGTTCGTCTGGACTTCTATGTGCCTCCCATCTTTTTGCGACCATAAACCTGTAGGCAGAGAATTTACTTTAAAACACAGCAGCTGCAGGTGGTGGAGTT